AGAGGCAAGAAGAATGAGAAGCAACGTAGCTGGGTAAGCCATAAAACAGATGACCGACATGAAATAAAAACCCTCAGTGGGCCTGGGGCATTTCTGTTACCATGTCCTCTAATACATGCAGGTTGTGCGTACAGGTGGGGGATTTTTTTCATTCTACTGCTTTCATATTTAAGGATTCAGCCACATCAATCAGTTCAAAGGACTGATCTATTTTTATCCACACAGAGATAGTGGCACTTGGACCGGGTCCTTGTCTCAAACACAACTTTACAGCTGGGTGGGAAAAGGAGAAAACTCACCGACTGCCTGGTGCCTCTTCACATTGGCCACACCAACTTAAGATCAGGCATTCCCAGAGGGCTTTTGTGGTTGAAAAGCTAGTGGAACTGTTCCTAAGATGGTGTGCAGATGTTTCTGAATTAGGGGACCACCAGCAGCTGTAGTTTCACATATGTTGACGAGGAGTAAGATTTAGACCCTCAACTCACCCCTCCTTGATCACAAATTAGATGACTGTGTTGGAAACAATAATTTCCCCACCACATTTGCTATCCCCCCGAAGCATCTTCCCCCTTAGTCACTTTTACCCTCGGTGAGCGGCAAACCAAACAGGCTATTCTCTCTTTCGGCCCACTCCCTTCATTTCCTCTTGCTGGGCAACGAACTGCTGAAACAAGTTACCTCGGATGATAAGGAGTGGAGAGGGAGGGAAGAAAGCACAGTTATTGGGATCTGTTTTCTGTTGGGCCATTTGGACCCAGCAAAGGCCAGCATCTGAAAGCTCTGGGCTCATTCCCTGCTCCATCAGTTGCAGGCTTTGTGAGCTTGGGCAAATAGCTCTGTGCCTCAGCCTTCTCATCTGTAAAATGGATCTCATAACCCCATGTGGTGCTCAAGTGCAATGGAAACTGGTTCTCTTGTGTCCGTGGACTGCAGTTATTGCAAGGTCAGGTTACTCTTTGCAGAGTTCTTTGTCCCAATCTCCACCCTCACGCAATCCAGCAACCAAGGCCTGAGGGGCACTCGCCGGATCACTGACCTGGTCAGCAGTAATGTTTGGACTCAACTCCAGACATCCTGAGTCCCAGACCTGTACTAATGTCTTTAATGGCTCGGAGCTACATTTACCAGAAAGACATAAATTAAGTAATTACGCCTGGCACAAAACAGAGCCTGGGGAAGGTCAGGCTGAAGAAGGCAGAGAACAGCTCTCCCCTAGCCGCTCCTGCTAGGGCTGGGAGGAGGCCCACAGGCCTCGCCACTGCAGTGGGCGTTTTGACAGGGCCTGAACAGTAGGCAGTGGTTCTGCAGGCTATTACCCCCAACCCCACACAAACCTGGTTGCTGTCTTTTTTTTTTAACAAGAAGCAAAGTCGTCTAACTCCCTTCCCAGATAGGAGGCAGGAGAGCCAGACCCTGCAGCAAACAATCCCTTATACATTTTGGAAGAGTCTTCCAAAGTCTTCCTTGGCCAACAAATGCCCTGTATTAGGCTTCTGCAGTAGGAGGCTATCTTTAGAGGGAATTTTTCTCCTTCATGCTCTGAGTCTGGAATGGCCAGTGAGAAGAACTGCTTCTGTCGTGCTTCGCTGGTCCCAACAGAATGATGGGGACAAGGCCCTTCAGCAGCTCTGTTCTTCAGAGGTGGAGCCTTTTCTGGGCCACAGCTGGAACGTTAGCTCTTCCTTGGAGCAGTCTCTGACCCCCACAGCATCCTGGCACCACGAAGGTCTCCTTCACACAGCCCTGAAAGCTTTCATGTCTGTTCATTTAATTTCCGTATTTGTGCCCATTTCACTAATGCAATCAGGTGTTCATGGCTGCCTTGTCTTCAGGGCTGCGAGGCTTATGAGAGCAGGGGGAGGGTCTGCCTCAGTTCCAGCTGTCACCTCAGGCGGGCATGCCTGCTGTGTATGAGTGGGTGGCAGGCACGAAAATGTGGATGGGTGGTTGCAGCTTCTGAGGAACTTGGGTCGGTTTAGAGGATCTTCACTTCTTTGGGCTTCATTTTCCCCAGCGATAAAGAACATGCTTCTGTGTTCCCTTACAACGCTGAACCCGCGTGCTTCCAGGAGGAAAGGGCCAAGCAGCAAGTTAACCTCCCGAAGACAGGCTCCCACATAGAAGCACAAGGGGAGGGCTTCCAAGTTTCCAACCGGCAGTTAGGTGACAAAGCTGGGCCATGCTGTTGTCTGTGTGACCGACTTCGCATGCCCTCACACCCAGAATGGGGGATCCTGGCCAGGGATGGGCCATTCTTCATCGAGCATTCTGCAACAGCTGAACAGATACTCCCCAGACAGGTATCAGGGACAAACAATAATGTCAGTTGCATCCACACTGAGCCTGGTCTTCAGCAGAAGCTGCGACTTTTATGTTTGGGGCTCTGCCCTCTACCCTGCAGTACCCCCTTGGTCCCCCGGCCGGTGCTCCTCCCAACCCTGAGCTCAAGACTCAGGCAGGTCCGGAGGGCCTGGACCCAGCCCCAGTCTATGAGCTCAGAGGGAGGAGACAGTCTTATAGATCAGAGAAGCGACTTTTGGTGGCACACACTAAGGGTGTCATTTCAAATTGATGGTTCCCAAGTACTAACTTTAGAAAGGTCCTCCTCCTTCCTTCTGTGGGCTCTTCCTAGCCCTCTATTTTAACCTGAAAGGGACCCATCGTGGCAATTAGCTAATCTGATAAGCCCATCTCCTCTGCCCTTTCTCCCAGCAAGTAAGAGCAGTTTACATGGATAATGAAATCAAGGCGCACTTACCTATGAACAAGCGATTCCATGCTTAAGAATCTTGATTATAGCTACACTTGCACTTCAAGTGTGAAATGGTATGTTCAAGGACAGTCGATGAAAGTTTGTTATAATAGCAAAAGATTGAAAGGAGCTTAAATGTCCATCACGAGGAGACAAGTTAAATAAATAACCTATGTGACGCAGACTGAGACAGGCAGGTCTCTTTGTACTGATACAGAAAAATCCCCAGGAATATTCACATTAAGAAAGCAAGATGCAGATGAGTGTTTAGAGTGTGCTACCATTTGTTTAAAAATTAGCACATACTGGGGCACCTGGGTGGCTCAGATGGTTAAGCATCTGCCTTCGGCTCAGGTCATGATCCCAGGGTCCTGGGATCGAGCCCCATGTCTGGCTCCTGGCTCAGCGGGGAGCCTGCTTCTCCCTCTGCCTCTCCCTCTGCCTCTCCCCCTGTTTGTGCTCTCTCTCTCTCTATCTGTATCTCTGTGTCTCGAATGAATAAATAAAATCTTTAAAAAATAAAAATAAAAAAATAAAAATTAGCACGTACTTAAATGTCTGTGTTACACGGGTTGAATCGTGTCGTCCCCAAGTTCATGTGAAGTCCTAACCTCCAGTACTTCTGAATGTGACCTTACTTGGAGATAAGATCTTTATAGAGCTAATCAAGACCAAATAAGGTCATTAGGTTGAGCCCTAATTAAATATGACTGGTGTCCTTAAAACAAGGGGAATTGCGGACACAGACTTACGCACAGGAAGAACGCCATGTGAACGTGAAGGCAGAGATAGGGGTGATGCTTCTATAAGCCAAAGAATGCCCGAGATTGCCAGCATGCACCAGAAGCCGGGAGGGAGGCATGGTACTTACTCTCTCTCCCAGCCTTCAAAAGAAACCTACTCTGGTGACCCCCTGATCTCAGACTCCTAGACTTTGGCAGCCCTAGTGGCTAATACAGTGTGTGCCTGTGTGTGTGTATGTGTGTGTGTGTGTGTGTGTGTGTGTGTACTTTTTCTTTCCCACTTCCCCCACACCCCAAAAATAAATATATATACAGGCAAGTAACAGTTGCCTTCTAGAGATGACACCAGGAAACATTCACATCTTCCTGATCTAACTTTAGGGTATCAGTACGCTACACCCTCCAGGACCAAATCTGATGGATTGTGCAGGGCTGTTGGTGGGAGTGCTGTCTTGGACGAGGATGCCGAGGCCTCTCCTGGGCTCAGTGGAGAAGAGCTTCAGTCACTGGGAATGTCCGCAAGGTGCAGGGAGGGAATCAAGGGGCAGGGGCTACAAGCGTCTGCCATCCCTGACCAATGGTTGGGATTTCAGCTTGGTGTGGGGGTGCAGGGGGTAGAATGCAATTAATATTCACCTTTGTGTAATAGGGAGCCCTGTTACGACGGAGCTTGGTTCTAGTGTAGGGTCAGACAGGTGGTTCCAGAACACATGATATGATGACTCAGCTCATGCCTGAATCTGGGCCAACTGTGTGCCAAGAAATCCTTTTTCCCTTCTGAAGTAAATGGGCAGATGGATAGTCACTGTGTGAGTCACGAAGCCTGAGGCCCCAAATGGCTGTGCAGATGGAGAAAAATGAGATCCCGTGCAGGAGGCTCCCATCTCCTCCAACTGTGGGGTCTGAGCCCTGCATGCGCCGCACCTGCCAGAAAGCACAGTCTTCCAGTGGCCGTCTAAGCCCCCGGGGCAGAGAGGCAGGGCTCTCGGCCTGACTGAGGGCACTGCTAGGATCTTGGCCACCTGCCAAAGTAGAAATGATCAGAAACTTGGAACAAACCTCGACTTGGAAGAAATCAGAATGAAGGCTGTTAAGTTAGTGCCAGGGTCAGCCCAACCCTGCTTCTAAATATCATAGAAAAACATGACCGTGTGTGGAAATGGACACCTTAGGTGTCAGTGTTTTATACTGCTTACAGGGTTTTTCTACTCAGTGGATACTCCCTCTGAAAGATAATAGCTAAAGCCTTTTAAATGAGATCAGCTCTTTCTCTGATCCCATTGGAAAGTATATTTCCCCAGCCAGCAAATCCAGAATACAACTTACAACTTTGTGAGTGTGTGTGTGTGTGTGTGTTAGAGAGACATCCCAACATCCTCTCAGAGATCTGCCGAGAAGGCAGGGGATCAGGAAAACAGGTGAAAAACAGCACAAGTTCAACTGCAAGAAGAAGTTTGAGATAAAGGTGAATTTGGAACCTGGAACTCCCCCTTTCATAGAATCACCATTCAAGTACTTAGGCAAATTGTGAAGGTGCAGCCAAGCGCAATGCTTCTCACACACGGTGGGTCTCTGTGCGATGACAGGTGCTTTATATCCATCCTTTCCTACGACAGCCAAGTTCAGCGCTGGGAGGGCAGAGCACCTGGACAGAATCCTTGATCTTGAAAAGCATGCAGTGCCACACAGAAAAAGTCATGAGACAGATTCGTAAGTTATAATAATGAAGGCACAGAAAACATGCTCAGGGAGGCTGGAAGAGGGGAACAGGGAGACCTCAGAGCTGAGTAGAAGAGGGAAGTCGGAATCTTCCAGGGTGAAAAGGGGGACAAAGGAGAGTGTGCATGGAGGACCTGGAGGGTGCAGGGTTCAGGGCAAGATGAAGCTGGAGGGCTGGGCGGGGCCTTGCCTAGTAACTCAGGTCCACACTCCAGCTTTGCGTCACTGGGAAGCCAACACATGCTTCATCATGGTGGGAGAGGAATCCTGTTTCCTGCCTCAGAGGTAACCTTGCCCTTAATGTGGAAAGTGAAGCGGGGCGGCGGTGGGGGAGCTGGGGAAGGGAGACTAGCCAGGAGGCTGCCGAGATAGTGCCGGGGAGAGTCACAAAGCCCCAAGCCCCAAGTGTCAGCATGTGAGGGCCCGGGGAGGAATGGGATCTGAGCCACGTGGGCTTTGGAATGGATAGGACCTCCCACAGGTAGGGTCCCAAGGAGGAAGACTTGGAGGTTTCTGAGTTGCCTTGTGCCAGCCCCAGACAGAGGGCGAGGCAGAAAGAGGGAGTGAGGTCTCGTTTAGGACATGCTGAGTCTGAGGTGCCTGTGGGTCATCGGACTGGAGATGTCCAACCAGCAGGCAGAACAGAGATACGGGTGTGGAGCTTGGGAGAGAGAACCCTAATGGAATATCTTTCCGATGACACATTCCTGTTAAACATCCATTCTTCTGGTTTGCCTAAGGCCACCGCGGATGGGTCGGTTGGGAGGTGCCATTCTGACAACCTGGGTGTGGCCTCACTGTCCTGAGACCAGGACAGATTTCTTTCCTGCCCTCCACGTGGGGGTCAGGATGTGCACAGGCCCGTGCGCCCGATAGAAGGTGAGGTGCACACATGTTTCAAACCTGTGGGGCCTAGCACTGCAGTTCCCTGTGCAAGCACATGTTTTCCTGGTGAGCTGCTCACGCAGGATGAATTCCTGCAGCATCACAGAAGTCTTAAGAGCTCCAGTTCGGCTAGCAAACTGGAAGCTTGAGGTGGGAGAGAAAGGGGAGGAGGCGACTCCCCTGCCCTAGGGCCTAGAAGGTTCCCACAAGGAACTAGTGGAGCAGTTCCTACCAGAGAAGTTCCAGCACACCTTAATAGAACCGTTCTGATTCTAGACCATTTCATAATAACATCAGGACAGCATTTTTTTACACCTAAAGGTGCTTTCGTATGCTCAGGTATAAAACCTTGGCCATTTGCACTACCTTATTTGCTGAATACCATCCCTATGAGTTTGGTTCTGTATTATAGTGATGATCCCCATTTTATGGATGAGGAAAATTGGGGGCAGAGAGGTTAATCAACCTGCCCCCAATCCACCTATCTGGTGAGTGATGTATCCGGGCTTTGGAAACCGTCTGTCTGCCTCCGGAGGTTGCTCTCGTAACCACAGAGCCACAGGCTCCCCAGCACATGCATATGATGGCTGTATTTTATGGCACTTTGTCCTGCTAAAAGCACTCTCTTATATTTATGTCTCCAAATTGACAGAGACTGGGCCAAGACTGAACCTTTAACCTGAAATGGCTTTCTACAGAGTTCTCTGGGGCTGGAAGGTGGACCCAATATCTGGAACACTGCCGTCCCTTCCAGGGCTTTGAGCCTAAGACGTGGTGTCAGAGTGAACCCCGTGGGCTCCCTTCCACCTCATGCAGGACGCATCTCATGAAGGCTGCATTTCCTGTAACCCACCCATGGACCCCCGATCCTCGGACTACAGCTGCCCAGAGGAACTGAAACAAAGTGAATCACAGAGGGAAACAAAGTGAATCACCGAAGGCAGGTGGAGAGTTACATTTTGTACTGCAAGACCAAAAGGGGCCTTCTAGCAAATGTTCGTGTTGCTTTGCTACGGATTTTTCTTTTGGCTTCTAAACTCTTCAAAATAGAGTTCCATTAATAATGTAAACGGATATAAGGACAGTGAGAGCTATCAGTTATTTAGTATGTACTGGATACCTTTTTTAAAAAAATGTAATTTCAGGGGCGTCTGGGAGGCTCAGTCCATTAAGCGTCTGCCTTCATTCAGCTCAGGTCATGCTCTCAGAGTCCTGGGATGGAGCCCCACATGAGGATCCCTGCTCGGCGGGGAGCCTGCTTCTCCCTCTCCTCCCCACTTGCGCTCTTTCTCGCTATCTCTGTCACTATCTGTCTCTCTCTCGCAAATAAATAAAATCTTTAAAAAAATGTAATTTCAGACTTAGAGAATTTCTGGACACTCTGTACCCATTATCATTCTTTACCCTGATACCTCAAATGTTAGTATTTACTCTTTGCTTTATGTGTCTCTATATCTATCCTTTACCATTTAAGATGCTGTAGATCTGATGCCCTTTATCCTTAAATACTTGTGTATATTTCCTAAAAGCCTAGCCAAAAATCCTGCCTTTAAAAACCACACTGCAATTATGTAAATCATGGTATTAACATTGATGCAATACACTTTTTTAATCTATATACCTTACTCGGATTTTGCCAATTGTCCTTATAATGTCCTTTCCAGCTAAAGAAAATCCACAATTATATGTTGCATTGACTTGTCATGTCTCTGGACATCTCGAACAGTTCTTGAATCTATTTCATGACATTGGACATTTTCGAAATGAACAGCCCAGCTTATTCCATAGAACACCCCCCAGGTTGGTTTGTTTTTCTCATGGCGAGATCCAGGTTATACACTTTTATTAGGAATTCCACGGAAGACATGATAAGTTCTTCTCAATGCCTCATAAAAGGGACAGGCTGTCAATTAAGTCCCAGTAAATGGTAGTATCTGTTGGGTTTCTCCACTGTGAAGTCACTATTTTGTCCTTTGTGATTACTAAATCTCCTGCGAGGAGATACTATGAGATTATGCAAATATGATTCTCGACTGACTCACTCAAATATTACTATTATGGTTGCCAAATGGTTATATTCTAATTCTGCCGTTCCTTCTACAATTGTGAGTTGGCTTTCAACTATAAAAAAGAACTTTATTATATGGTTTATTTATTTCTATCAGCATGGACTCATGAATTCTTACTTAATTCAATTATTAGAATTCTTTACTGTCCTTAGTTTTTTTGAGACTCAAAGTGTCCCAGATGTTTGCCAGGTACTTCATGTAAATTATTTCACTGAATTCTTTTTTTTTTTAATATTTTATTTATTTATTTGACAGAGAGAGAGACACAGCGAGAGAGGGAACACAAGCAGGGGGAGTGGGAGGGGGAGAAGCAGGCTTCCCGCGGAGCAGGGAGCCCGATGCAGGGCTCCATCCCAGGACCCTGAGATCACGACCCAAGCTGAAGGCAGACGCCCAACGACTGAGCCACCCAGGTGCCCCTATTTCACTGAATTCTTAAAACAACTCTATGTTGTGGGGATTATGATTATCGCTGTTTTTCAAAAAAGCTGAAGTTCTAGGAGATTAATTTTTGCAACATTTAACTGACAGAATCTCCACGCTTTCTGTGTCAATCGCCTGATATATACATATATATATATGTATATATATATATATTCCCCCTAGTTCCCCCTGATGTCTCTGCCATGTGGGAGTTATCCTCTCCTCTCTATTTTAAGAGAAAACAGGCTCAGAGAGGTTATTAAGTAACCTGTCACAGAAGCTGTGATGAGAATTCGAAGGCCTATTTGTAATCTCCTGTTGGTTTTTGGAGGACCACATTGCCTCTTTCTGCTGTTTTTCCTTCCGCAGGAGGGATACTTAAGCAGCAAGTCTTTTTGCCATTTATTCAAACCTATTCAAGACAGAGGAGGTAAAAGGAGAAACTGGCTTTCTTTTTTCTTTCCCTTCTCTTCCTCTTTTCCTTCCTTCCTCCCTCTCTCCTTTCTTTTTCTCTTTCTCTTTCTTTTTTTCTTTCTTTCCTTCCTTCCTTCCTTCCTTCCTTCCTTCCTTCCTTCCTTCCTTCCTTCCTTCCTTCCTTCCTTCCTTCCTTCCTTCCTTCCTCTCTTTCTTTCTTAATAACCTGTATTTGTAACAGCTTTTGCTTCAGCTAAAAGCTACCCTGATTCTAACCAGCACCAAAGCTGGGAAGTTGTGGAGGTTTAGATCTTGCCAGAATCCTTGGTGTTCTTGGAGTAGCTTTATGGCAATTAAATGACTGAAAATGTAACCTCTTAAAGGGAATGCATCATTCTAGCATTTAAAGGAAAACTTTGGTGAGATGTCATTATATAGTCACCCTCTAATTTATTGTATATGAATTTTCCCATTACTCTGCTTGTGTTAACCATGGTACAGGTGCCCATTAGAAATGCAGAGTCTGGAGCCTCCTCCTAGACTCCTCAAATCAGAATCCCTTGGGTTTGACAAACTTCCCAGAGGTCCCTGATGCTCACTGAAGTGGGAATGGATGTGTGAAGTCCTCTGACCAAGCTTGGTTCCTGTGGGTTCACAACAATGCTGGCTTCAGACCAGCAATGTCAGCCTCAGGGCCACTTGACCTTTGCCCTGCCTCTTGCCCTCAGCAGTCACCACAGGAAGTGGGATTTGCCAGTCACACTGCCCTCGGGGAGCGAGCCTTGGGCAGGCTCCTGTCTCCCTCCTGCAGGAAGTGAACAGCAAAAGGAATGCATCATCCCCCAAGGATTCTGAAGTATAGTATCTGTACATAGTTCCTGGCAGCCCTGAGCCAACTTCTGAGAAAGCCAACTTTGAGGGGGGTGGGGAACCAACCCCTTTGCTAGGCTCTGGTTAAAACCAGTGCAAATAAACAAAAAACAGCTGTTGATTCACAAAGTACTGCCTGCAGTTAGGAAACGTTATTTTATCCCCAAACCAAGACCGCTGTGAAGTTACTGACTTAACTCCAAATGGGGTATGCGTAGCTTCTCTCTAGCCCTTTGCCCGCCACCCCCACTCAGGCTGAAACTGGTCTAGGCTGCAGACAGAGCCAAGTACAGATGTCACCGATCCTGTCAGCCCCAGGAGACCAAGCGGTGGAGTGCTGCGGAAGGCTTCACAATGAGCTTTTTAGGGGACAGGCTGATTTGTAGCCTTTGGTGATTTCCATGCTGTGAGGGCTCCCACCACGGCTGATTTCCATCTACCAGCAGTTTAACAACCAGCTCACAGGAGTCCTGTGTATCTAACAATTGCTTTTCTGAGCTGGGATGAGCCAACTCCAGCAAGTGACAATCCTGAGCGTTTAAGATCTCATCAGCTTGAGTGGGTGCTTGGGCAGGGAGGGGCATGACAAGGATGACAGAGAAGATGGATGAGGCAGTGCTGGACGGTCAGCCCAGACCTCTGAGGAGAGGAAATCCCTGTCCCCACAGCTGCTCCCTAGCATCTGAGAACAGCAACATGGCAGAGGGCTCGAGATTCTTCCCAGACCTCACGGTGCACTCAGGTTTGTCTTGAATAGAAAACCACTGCAGTTAACACTGATGGAAAGAACGTCCAGTGGGCAGAGGAAGTAGAAAATAGCAGTTTCTTTTGGCTCTCTCTGCAACATCAGTGCTTTGTGTGTGTGTTTTATGAGCAATGGGTAATGTGAACGATAAGAAGAGCCTAAGTTTGCCTGTGGAATTAGTGGTCAGCCCATCTCATGCCAGGTTCTAAACCCATCCTTCCTAACCCCAGCTAGAATGGGAGATGGGCAAGACATATACATACCACCCTCTCTCCTGGTGTGAAGAAATCTCATGACAGGTTCCTAGTCCAAGAGCTCCAGAATGAGTACAAGGCCAAAGGCTACAAACTCCATATCACGACATGACTTAGGGTTCATTTAGCTGACAGAACCTCTGGTTTTCTCCATTGCTGTCGGGATCCATTATGGTTCTAAGGAGGGCTCTTCTGGCTGCCAGGAGCAGAAACTACTCAAACTAGTCTCAACATTTACCACGATGCGTTAATTGTAAGGATGGCAGGATGGTTTTGGATTCTATAACAGGGCATAACGTCCATCGAGGCACTCCAGGAATCTAAAAAGCTATTCAAGGCTGAGGCAGCCTTTCTCTCTTTCTTGATTCCATTTGGCCTTTTCTCTTTACACTAATCTTCTCCCTCTAAAGACAGGCCTCCTTGTGTCTTCAAATGTGCACCCAGCACAACGTGGCCAAAGGTCACAGCTCGACATCAGGATGTCTTATCTTGTACACTCATCAATAAGGGTAACTTCCCTTGGAAGTCAAATTCACAGGAGCAAACATCTGATTGGCCTACATCATGGGATTAAGCCACGCTACCCAAGTCACAGGACACTGCATTATGACAATCTTGGACTTAGGTATCTGCCCATGTGTGGTTCTTATGGCCATGGCTGAAGAAGCAAGTGGGGAGAAACACATGACCCATAAAACACATGTCCTTTACAGGGGTGATGGGCAGAACCCCAGGACCAGAAGATGCCGTCCAAGGACGGGTAGGCCAAATGCAGTAATGGCTATGAAACCATGTAACAAACATCTAGATGATTTCTGAGGACAGTGAATTTTATAAAGTTCATTAATAAGTGTCATTTCATTTAATGGAAACAACCTTAGAGGGTATGCATTCTTAGACCCATTTTAAAGATGAGGAAACTGTTGCTCAGAGGATAAGGATTACCTCAAGGTCCCACAGCTGGGAAACAGCAGAACCAGACTTAATGTCAGGTCTTCTGGCTCCAAGTCCAGTGCTCTTTCTTCTTGGCAAAGGATCCAACAATCGAGTGGGAGAGAGGACTGCACAGAAATCACTCTGAAGCTTTATCTAGAGCTCAGGACTTTAGTTGTAAGTGAACGAATGAAACCCAAACTGTTGTGAGCACAATGAGAATTTATTGGCTTATGTAACAGAAAAGCTCAGGTGCATCTGGACCCATGACATGGAGTGTTGCTCTTCTTTGTCGTTCTTGGCAGCATATTTGGGTTTCCCAGTTGGGAGTCAGGCTCCCTCTGTAAGGAGACAAGATGGTTGCCAGCAGTCTTCATGGCTTCAGATGTAGAAAGAGAGGCCCTTATCACAGCAGTCTAAGAAATCCAGAAATTGG